ATGCAACCTCCACGTACCCAAATGCGTCTTTCACCCCGAACTGGTCGAACGGTGGATATTAAATCTAGTATAGATTTGTCGCGGGGAATCCGAATGTTGGAGGCCTCATGTGCATTGAATAAAGTACGTCATGATCAAACACATCAGAGGTTTCACGAGAGAGGTGGTATGAAAAGGAAGAGACTTCGTCGACAAAGGTGGAGAAATAACTTCATGGAGGGATTTAAGGGCATTGTGGGCAGAGTGAAGCAATTGAAGAATCAAGGGTGGTAGAAAATTCCATGGGTGGGAATGTGAGGGTGGAGGTGTGACCTACTTGCAGATACTTTGCAACCAGAGGACAGATGAAGTACTCGTATATTGCTGAGAGAGTCTAGGAAATATAGACTTCACCATTATGTATATCACTATAGAGAAGTAACATAAGACTGTGGACACCCCAGGAATGAAACTTAAAATAAGTTCCAAGCTTTCAAAATGCACAGATGAACACACTGGGCACCTATCAATTTGGGTTGCAGCTTCAATATCAGCCATATTCGTGTACTCGGAGGCAATCTGAACATGAGATCTGTAGGACAGAATGCTTTTTCAACCATATGAACAGGCTATACACGCATGCCCTCATTGGACTCCATGCTATGCCCTCGTCAAATCCCATCAAATGTAGTACGAATGTCTCCCCTATTTCGTTTAAGCCAATGGCTTCGAGCCCAGCGGCAGATCAGCGGCAGATCACTGATGCAGACATTCCTCTGATTTGCCATCAAAATCATGTGGTAAATCAAGGTTTCATGGTAAATCAACCAGTCGGTATTTTTACATCGAGATTCAATCGAACCAATCAAGACCCTCTTATAAATCTATCAAATAAATTTTCTTTGTACCCTCGAAATTGACTGTGGCTGCTGTCTCATATACAATTAGCGGGAGACCTCGTGCTTTGAAGCTCAAGCCACTTTCCAGTCACCCAAAAATCATGCGCCACACAGCCACAAGTCCACCGGAGTCAGCTGGGGAGCTATCAATATCTAAGATGAATCCGAATATGAATTCACGAGCTGATGTGCTACTTCTAAAATCCGGATGATGTTACTTAGTGCGCATATCATTACTCACATTCTTATCAAATCACCTCTTCCTCCATAAAGTTGGCAGGTCATCTCAACCAAGCTTGAGTCAAGCAACCTGCTGGCTGCTGTATTATATCAAGCATTGCCGACCTGTTCCAAACGTACATCTTCTCCTCTCCAGTTGGGCCAATCATACATAGAAGTACTGGTTGGGATACGAATATTTCATCTTTAGAAGCATCACTTATTTTATCTACTCAATTACCCTCGCCCGAACAGCCAGCAACGCGTCTAGAACAACGCAAATTCAAACAAAGGAAAAACCCTTCAATAGCACTCGACTCGCCCTTCCCATTCAACTCGAGCTTCGAAGGTAAAAAAATCTGTCGACTTTTGAAATCTAGTTACAAAACTCAATCTATAGATCTACCGGGGGCTCGGATGCATCTCCGGAGCCTACCTCGCGACCCGGAGAAAAAGCCGAACACTAAGATTCTATATCTTAATAAAAATCCAATATTCAAATAAGAAAGCTATATTTCTTTATAAAATTTTATACATCATTCATTTATCAATAAAAGGTTCTTAATATCCCATTTCAAAAAAATTAAAACCTAAAAAGAAATTTATTTTTAATTTTGATAAAGATTGATTTCTAGATTCTTCTATTCTTGCGGGTTAGGTGTCCGGCTTTTCCTCCGGGTCGCGAGCCTACCATCTAATTAATCATATCCGAAATCGCCCCCGTCCTTGTCATCGGAGGAAACTCCGTCTCCGCGATGATATCGAGTTTCCACAAACAACCAAACCCTTAGACAACCACATCAAATCGGAGTTCCACCATTCTAAACCTCAAATTGAATCAAATGCAATAATCCTCCATAATTCTCAGACACACTATGATGAAATCCAACGTGGAGTAACTCGCCGCTGATTCGAAATTTGAAATTCCAAATCTCTGTGTCCTGACTGACTACCAGCTTTCTTCCTGCACACCACAGCCGAACTCGCAGGGCCATTTGACATTTCAACCTAATGGTGGTTTACGTCGGTGCGTCCCATCAAGCTTTCAGGGGCTTACCTCCGATATATTTTCCGATCCCACCTCGTCGGACCTTCCTGACCCGCTCTCATCGTGATTGCTTTATCATGCCCCTCTCCCAATTTACTACTGCACGGCAGTACATAATATTGTCTAAGCGAGCTTGCTTAAGGTCTGCAGCCCGGAACTGCATTTACCCTCACCGCGCTAACCAACAATTGATTGCTCGCTCTTTATGCCCAACAAAATTTCTGAATAAATTGAAGTTCCTTGGCAACCCTCCTCTACTGACAATTATAGCTAGCTAGAGATACACAACTGCAATGGAAGGCAGGGCATCTAATCCATGGCCGCATCGCATGTAGCACTACTAATCTAGATTCTCCAATATTAGTCAATCTACTCTGACAAACAGATGACATGTACGTAAATCGCTTCCGCTAGTATCAGTGACAAGTGCACATACATACACATTCTTGATCTACTATGAACCCTTAATCCTCATTCTCCGGAACTTTTCTCGTAAATGAGTCACTTCGAAAATCATCTAAATCAAGCTTTTCAAAATATTATATTTTAATAACTAATTATTATTTCTTATATAAAAAACAGCGTTAAATAAGAATTAAAATCTAGTTGTTATATGAATATTTCAATTATATTCTAAAAAAGTGAAAATTATTACGATTTATATTACAAAAAGACTATTTCTCTAATAACTACTTTATAAATTCGAATTTCTTAAAACTAATCAGATTTTTATAATCTATATATATTTAAAAAATTTATATTAAATTTTCAGAAAATCTATTCATTAATAAAGAAAATAAATAATTATTTTTAGACGAATTTTATATATAAAATAAGTAACTTGTATATTAATATAATCTACTTACTAATAAACTATATTATACGAAATTCTTACAAACGTAATAGACTATTCGTACGACTATAAAGTATATATGTCCGGCGCTAAACACGCTATATCGGTTAAAGAGACTAATAGAATCTACTAGTTCTTTCAATTCAACTATATTAAATGAAGATTTTGAAAAAAGAATCAATTAAATGACTCGCTTATATTGGAGCCCTATTGTTTTGAGTATAAATATTACTGATTTATGCCCTTTTCAAGCACTAGGGAGCTTCTCCTCAGTACTTTAATTTAATAAAGACAACAGTTGTATACTTTCTGACCGCACGAGTATTTATACGCTATTCGGAACTATTACGATCTAATCAATGCTGTAACTTGAAATTTAAGGCTTAGTTGCCACGTGCCCCTATCTTATCTAAAAGACTTAGTAGATGTCTTAATGATAGTGTGCAGCTATAGGGCCACATGAAGCATTGTGATATCGTGACAAGCTACGGAATCGTGAAAGAATCAGCTCTTGGGACTTAAGAAATGTACAAGAGGAATGATATGGTTCAGCCTCGTCAGTAGACTCATTTGAAGATCCAGGCGCTAGCTGCCAAAAACTGTGAAGCAGAGTATTCCTTGTTATATTCTAAAGTTCTAGAACATTGAACTTGGAAAATGCGAATGTGAGCCCATATGGCGTTTCCTATGCTATATCCTGTGCTCGAGGATACTGATATAGAGGAAACTACAGCCTCATATTCTGTTCATGTTGATCATTTTAGTGAGACGGGACGGCTGGATAAATATTAGTAACAATTTCGGAGCGCTTAAGTTGCCCTTTTCGTGTCAGTATACACGATTGAAAGTATCCGGAAGTTTGGTCGCGCGATGATCCAACAACGGAGGCGGGTTCAACTCCGAAGCTCATTGTTTGCCTGCCGCAACATCACTCAATGTACTTTCAGTAACATCATATAATATTATCTTTCTAAACAAGATCAATAAATGTCTCCTGAATGATACGATCGTGATAATGCTGAGGGTCTATTGAAATGTTCACTAGAACACGCCCCTAGAAAACTGGAGATATCCTAAAAGAGCGACTTTCGAGTCCACGTTGCGAACCGCATCGAAGTCTCTAGATTCAAATCAGCGTCCCTGGATGTTCCGTTAAGTTTTACCAGACTCGCTATACACAATTGACACTATCTTGAACCAGTCACGTAGTGTCTACCGTTCATCTAATCAACAATTGTCTCCAGAACAAGCTAGAAGACAGTTATTAGCTTTCAATCTTGCCGCGTTTAGCCTTTGCTTAAGCGCGATTAGTGGTAAATGTACCTCCTCTGGCTGTTCATATCAACCTTCCAGTAGATGCCAGTATCAAGACAATACTGGCAATCTACATATATCATTCGTTATAAGCACAGTGAGTATTCTCGACAATTCCACAGGCTGCAAGCAAACGGCGCTCTCTGGCTCTAACCGAAACATTCCCCCAAAAATATTCATGATACAACATACCAGTACCGACTAAGGTTCGGATTTCCCATCCGAATGGGTGAGATGAATCCCTCATCTTTCAAACAGGCTTTTCCCAGATCAGCAATCCAATGCAGCCACCTTCGCCATCCTCGCCATCCCCGCTATTCTTCCCATACTTGCCATCGATGTGACAGACGATTCGAGATGGAGATATCGCCTCCTGTGCCCCACGCCTCCTGTCTGCAACCTGATGTTTCTTATTTTTACGACACCATGCAGTATATGCCCGGGATAACTGACCAATGTCATCTAGAAACGGGTTTGTACATGGTGCGACTTATTCTAGACACCATCTAGCCTTGCTTACTTCTCGATCCATCGCCAGTTTTATGCTTGATCCGGAGCTGTTTCCTATCTACTAACTTTTCAACGAAAATTCTACTTAACACCACAGTAATCTAATTCTCTCGCATATATTCTGAGTCTCAGATACGATCATATTCACAGATTGAATCCGCATCTAATTGACTCCGCAATGTCGGGTTCAAACTTTCACACTCTACTTTCCGGCGATATGGATACTACCACGAAGAATAGCAGTTCAAGCGACTCTTCCAAGAACAATACCACCACACCGGAAACAACAGCTTCCAATAGTCATGCAACCTCTGCACACCTCGATAAGAAGTCAGAGAGCGCAGGCCCCGTCGCAAAGAAGAGGAGAGTCCCAACATCAATCACCACAAACGCTTGTGTCAATTGCAAGAGAGCTAGAGCAAAGGTAAGTGATTCTAATACTCTCTGACTTAAGCCATGAAAGTAAGATACCCAGCATAAACACCTGGTAACTAAAGTTTACCCAGTGTGATGGTAAACAGCCTTGCACTCGTTGTACTAGCAAGAGAAGTTTATTCCAAGAAAACTGCGCCTACGAGCCACATACTAAGAACGCGAAGACGATACTGGTGAGGGATCTCAAAGAGAGCCATGACATCAGACACAAAGCGGAAAGAATCTTCACATGGCTCGCGAACAACACCGACAACGAGCATGATATCCTCGAGCGCATTAAGAATAGAGAGTCAATCACGGAGATAGCTACTTGGTTGGAATCCATAGAGAGGAATGGTGAGTCACAGCTATCTATATATGGAGGTTCCAACAACGAGCTCGATGGTGATCTGCTTAATGATTCTTCGTGGACAACAGTGACAGATGATGAAGAAGTTATCGAGCATCTTATCTCTCTGTATTTCACATGGGTCCATCCCTTTTACCCTTTGTTCAACGAAGGTCACTTTGTGGAAAGTATGCGCCGAGGATCGGACCAGTTTTGCTCGCACAGTTTGTTTAATGCTATCTGTGCCATGGCATGCTATCTCCACACTATCATTGACGAAGATATCATTGACTACAAACGAATGGGCGCCCAATTCACTGATTTGGTTAGGAACAACATCGATCCGCAAGACAACAGTCTAACAAATATTCAAGCATTTGCGGTCATGTTCTTGGTACGCTGCGCACAAGGACATGGGTATAGTGGTTCAGTATACTTGACTATCGCAAGTAGATCTATGGAGAGCCTCAGACCAAGTAATAGTGATAGTGTCGATTATCGACAAATCTGGAGGGAAACGGTCAAAGGGTTAAATAGCCTGGATGTGTGAGTAGCCAGTCTCCCACCCAATACAAGTTTACCAAAGGCACAATTAACCCTTTTAGTGAGTGGGCCCAGTTGACCTTTACGATGGCACCAGCTTACATCCCAGACTTGCAGCCAACTCAACTGGCCAAGGAGATAAGCTTATGCGAGGCCGAAGTAGACAATCTCAGGTGGGCATCGTATCGATTTCCTACAGACAACATAAGAGGAACCTCACTCCCCTGTCTGACGGCAACCACAAATCGCAAAAAAATGGAGCTTGTTGGTATTATCCACGAAGCCACGATACTCCTGTTTAACACAACTGGTCCTCTGATATCTGCTGAAGCTTTGTGGGCCATTTATCGCAGATTGTTAACTTGGCATGAAGATCTACCAAGAGACATCGCCATCATATGTGGAGAAGAAGTTCAAAGGTTACCGCATGTGTATTCACTGCAGTAAGCTCAGTCTTTTTAATATCCTCCCAATCTTGTCGCAGATCATTAACTGAGTGCTCAGTATATTATATGCCACGACGGCAGTCTATCTCCTAAGTCCACTACTAAATTTCAAGGAACCTCAGCTTGATGCACTGGTTAGGCAACATGCAAAGGAAGGGCTCAGGCTTCTTCTCGAACGATATCGCTTTCACTATACATCTCGTTACCAGCCAGTCTCCCAAATGTTCGCCATGCTGTATCTGATCGAGGTCCTGATTCAATCATCCCCAGAAACTGACAGAGACTCTGGAAAAGATGCCTTGGCATACATTAGACTAGCCACTGATATTCTGACAGAGTCTAATAGTAGCTTTCCTGTCGCTAAAGTCTTTATGGGAATTCTTCAAGAAAATACAAGGAAATCATTGATCCCATTGCCAAACGAAATTGAGGATCTCTTCCGTCACAGTCATCGCATGTCGAAATTCCCTTTAGACGATGCCATCAACGCATTTGGAAGCACGACTTATGTGCAGCCAGTTGAAGCGATTCGAAGGAGGATTCATCCTGATTTTAGATCTAGATGGATGATGCATGCCGCTGCTGGATATCCCAACAATTTCCACAGACCCACAATTCTGCGCCAGACCTCAGTTGAAGAAACAGGTGCACAGAACCTGATGCGAATTCTCAATCTGCACAACTACGACATAAATTGATGGATTCCTTTGAAGCAAGGAAAAAAGCAACTGCTTTTTTTCATTCTTGTGTTTTCGTGGAGAGGATGCTTTTCGCAAATTGTAGCTTGAAATGTAGTATACGCTGTTGCTCATTCAAAATTTCGTCTAGTCCAGCACAGAAATAGGAAAAAAGACACTGATTCTGGTCCAGAACAGCGCTGTTGGAGACCTCCGCCAAGATAATTTATCAACTGATATCAACGCCGTCGATGAATTTTGATTGATACACCTGGAATATGAAGCCAAGATGGATATGATATTTATCACAAGAGTAAACATGCTGGTGGTTTCTCTCTAGGTATTTCCAGCAAATCGCTCCCTATTTGTACGGCCATCCTCCCCCGTCTATTGCAATATCGAAATGCGCGTTATCTGGAACGACTAGTCGGGATGAAAGGTCTAGCTTGCTGCATTTTCTTTACAGTTATAGCTAGATATTAACCGTCAAAATCATCGTGGCACATTCGTTGGCTCGAATTTCAAGGAGCCTGTAGGATCTGATTCAAGAAATATTGGAACACTTGAGGTGTAGATCAGACGGAATCGGTCTAGCGGTGCTCCAGGTTCAGATTGATGAAAATTCTTTGGTGTATACTACGTATGACTAGATAAAGTCTTGCAAGAATGGCCGCCTGGAAAAATCCAATTTGATATATTTCGAGGTCTAGGAGGAAATTTTGAATTGAAGGTGGCGATTAAGCAAACAAATTTTCCCTAGTGGGAATCAATGAATTTGACCATAAATCTGATGTTGTGAATCGATATCTTTAGATGATACAGGTGCCACTTCATCAAGGCATAGGTAGTACGCCTTTTATCGAACCAGCAATAGTTGATACAAATCTATGGTGGCGAAAGGAATTTATATGGGTGAAGGTGTAGGTGGAGAAGTAGGAGTTGATGTTGGTGTACCTACTAGGTATCTAGGTAATGCCTTATTAACGTGTACAGTGAAAGGTGTATACATGGCACGTGTCCGGTAGTCGGTAATGATCAACAAGTCGGTATACGACACAAGAATTACTCATCAAAAGCCCATTGATGGATGAGCTATATAGTAGAGCATTTAATATCAACTGTGTTTACATCAACCTCGGAGTCTTTTCTTTGTTCGTGTTTACAAGCTCTTCTTACAATGCTGCTCTGAAGAAATTACGCTAGACATATACACTCTGCATCTTCAGGCACCTGAGTGACTAGGTACCGAGTGAGTGAACTTGAAGAGGCGAAAGAGGACCATAATATCTCGTGTCTTTGGATCTTCTTACTGGGTATATATTGTCTCATTGGCTTTTCGAGCTATTTGAGTGGAGTGAACGATGACAGGCCAATTCAAGGATACAAAACTGTCACCACCGCCACCTGAATTATAGCCAGTCAGCACTTGGTTTCTGATTTTGATCCAAGGATACATATCCGAATGATGTTAAGTCAATGAATGTATGAATGTATACAAAAGAAAAAGTAGGGTTACGTGTCTGTCGATGTCTCAACATCCGAAAGTCCAGGATTAAGTGCACTGGTCTGACACTCGTACTGGCAATAAGGTACAGTGAATATAGCACTATGAGGTACGCATTTAATATCTCCCGAGACGACTCACTGTCTATTATCTACGCTTCCTAACATCAGTCATTAAGTGATGTATCTTCACTTGATCCCATAGTACAGTCTCAAAACGATAGTCGTTACAATAAAATCCTCCGTCACCTGCGACAGCATCCGACAAAGGTTTTCAATTGAGGATTGTCGGAACGCTATGTATCGGACAATTGTATCCAGGCCCTTGAGCAATTCTCAATGATTGATAGGGCGACATGTGCGACACCCAGACGTGAAACATATATGGTAAAGCTGTCTGACTCGAAGACGTCGGCTTGCATGAGCCATTTACATTTACTCATTTAGCATTCTCAATGAATCCTGTGTATACGGATATTGTTTCAAATATACTACTATTCCAATCTTAAGGTCGAGGGTCTTCCTAATTTGTTAGTTCCCAGAGACTTTAAAATTAGATTTCTCTCGTCTCCCCTCGCCCCTTTTACAATTCTCATAATTGTCACTCGTCTCAACCTGGTATGGAGTACTGAAATTTTTGGTTTAGAACCTGCAATTTCTAATTGGAGAGCCTAAATCACTGTTCTTCTTCCAATTTCTCTTTTTATCTTGAATTTTCCCCTTTTATCCATTAGGGGAAGGAAGCGAACTCTTCTCCTCCCCTTAATATCAAAGAGCCTCAGAATTTTAAAGTTGTATGAGGGACCACAAACTATATGACACTATGTGTTACCATATATCCTAAATGAATGATCTAGTATAGGAAACAACACACTTACGGAGTACTTTCCGCAGAAACCTCGGCATGATGATTTGCTCGCTGGCTTTCAGAAATTTCTTTCATTGCTATTATCTCTACCATTATTCTAGCTCCTCTCGCCCTTCTCGTACGTCTCATCGATTAACTAAAGATTTCAGTGTAAGTTGCATACATTCTTTGAAAATCTGCCATTTTGTTTCCCATTTCCTCCTTCTCATTCCCTTCCTACCCTCTTTATATTTATGTTTCACTGCGTATTCATCATTCTTTCATTTACCAAGAAAAAAGGAAACAGAATATCCTTTACTCTCTCAGCATCAAAGGTCTCTAACATATAATACTAATGTAGCATCATACAAGTCTATAAAATGATCTAGTGTAGAAGACATGCTCCTCATGGTATACAAATACCACAGCGCGATTCAATATTCCATTTAGTAGTAGTAGTAGTAGTAGTAGTAGTATTTATTAACGTCCATCGAGCCGGCATAAGGCCGACCCTGGGAATCTCCCGAGGGGTATGGGGATGTGCTAAGCTATAGACTTATCTAAATGCCTTAGAAAGTAGTTTGTATATATAAGGGTTAGGGTCTATTTAAGTAACTTTTTCTCTATTAATTGAGGTAGGATTAGTAGTATTCAAGATTTCAAAAAGTTAGATATAATTTTTAGAAATAATAAGCATAAAGCTATAAAGGTATATATTTTAAATTTTTTTTTTAGCATTACAGTGTTACGGGAGCTGCCTCTAGGGTCACGTGGAAGTGTCTAGAGTTCTCTCGAGGTGGTTTAGACTAAACTTCAAGTAGGAATTCAATAAGGTTGGTAACTGGTTGCAATTCTCGTAACTATAGTAATGAAACTAATGATTGTTCTTGAGCACGAAGCTCTACATTGTAATGAAATCTGTTCTCTTATATAGACCTTCCTGCTCTGCAGAACCCACAGTTCTGTCTTGTCTGGATCCTCTGGATCCTATGGATCTAGATGTTTATTCTTCGATCCCCTAGATCCTCTAGGTCCATCACGTGACTTCCTGACCATGTGACGCGGTATATTGGATGCCGTCGTAACAAAAAGTTCTAATTCTAATTCTAATTCTAATTCTAATTCTAGTTCTAATTATATACATTTATAATATAGTATAATATATAGTATACATGAGGGCCAGCCTTTAAACCCTCGATCCTCGCTACGCTCGAGTTTAAATAATTAATTTAAATTTATTATTCTTATTCTCCCCCTCACTATTTAGTTTCCTTTTCTTTTCCTTTCTTTCCATTCTTTTCTTTCCATTAGATGTATTAGATGTATTAGTTCAATGATTTAATAGTAGAATAATAGTAGAATAATAGTATTATAGTTCGTCTTTTATATTCTTCTTTATATCTCTATTTATATTCTTATATAACGTAGTTTAATACCAAGTAACTCATATTATTAAGTAGCCCACATCAAAATACATATAAAATTCGTCTATATATAACCATGTACTTTCTTTATTTATCAATAGAATTTTTTAAAAATTGAGATTAGAATATTTAATTATATAAATATTATAAAAATCTAATTTGTTTTAGAAAATTCAAATTGATATATGAGTTATTATTAAAATAATATTTTTATAACGAAAATCATAACAATTTCGATTTTTTTTAAAAATATAATAGAAATATTTACATAAAAACTAGATTTTTTAAAAACTAATTTTTTATTATTATTTAATATCTTTTTCTTTTATAAAAATAATACTTGATTATTAAAATATAAATATTAGAAAAAGCTTAATATTGATGTATTTTAAAGTGAGCCACTTGATGATATGAGCCACTCAGTGTTAAACTACGTTAGCTTTCTATTAATATAACTTTATATATAGATTATAGTTTAGATTCTAATTTAGATCAGAAAAATAGCTTACTATATATATATAATTATATAATACAACTAGAGTATATATTTACTTGATTTACTTTTATAGATTCATTAAGACATTACTATATATTATTCTTTCATTATTATATCTTACTATTCCTAAAAATATATTAACATTAAAATCAGTATTAATCTTCTTTTAAAAATTTATCTATTAGATAATATATACTCTCAAGCTTATAAGTATTAAATATTCTCAGTAAATTTAAAAAGTAATACTCAGATACTTAAAAGTCTAGATAGTATATTAGATGAATAATTTCATCATTCATTATTATCTTACTTGAAATCTAATAACTTATAATTTACAATCTCATCAAATCTCACTAAAACTCATGTCCAGATATATACATCTGAATAGCATAGCATACTAGACAAATGACTTCTTTATTCATCTTTTACTATAAGCACATAATTCTCATTTCGAAATCTCATTCCCAAATCCTATTCTCAACTTCTATTCTCATATTCTCAACTTCTATTCTAGATCTTATTTCTAAATCTTATCTCCAAATCTCATTTCTAAATCTCATTTCTAAATCTCATTTCTAAATCTCATTTCTAAATCTCATTTCTAAATCTCATTCTCAACTTCTATTCTCAACTTCTATTCTCAACTCTCATGTCTGAATCTTATTCCTAAGTCTTATATTTAGATCCCACCTTCATATAGTATTAATATACCTTCTAAGAATATTAGATTAAATTATTTAGTTAGTTAATAAGTTAGTTTATTGAGTATTAGAATTGATTTAGTTGTTTATGTATATATGTATGTGTATATGTATGTATATATGTACGTATATATATATGTATGTATGTATATAGATAGTTTTTATAGTTTGATTTTGAATAGAATATTATACATAAAATGTAAAGTATAAAATAATATAAGGTGTAAAGTATAAAATGTAAAGTGTATCGTATATTTTAGTAATCCTGATCTTGATTTTGATCTTAATCCCCTTTATAGCTCTTAGAAAGTCATTATTATTTATACATCAAAAACTCTTCTTATTTTCTTTTACCTCGCTTCTCCCTCATTTCACTGAGCGCACTCAAATTCCCTTACAGTCATACAGTTTCTCCCTTTAAATCAATAGCTTAGTATTTCACTTTCTCTTCCTCTTTTTTTCCTCTTCCTTTACCTCTACTTACTTCGTTCTCCATCCCTTCCTTTCTCTTTTCCTGCTCCCTCTTCTCACTCCTCCCTGTTCACTATCTACACAACAATACCAAATACCTTTCTATCTCCAAATCCCTCTCCATCAACCTTCTAAATTACTCATTTAATAGGTATGTACACCCCTTACTCCTCACCTCACAACGCAACTCAAATGTACTAAACCCAACAAGCTGAGTAACTCATTAGATATAGGGATTCAATGATTAAGTCAACTACCCCACTTTCCGACCACCCCCTCTTTTCGACCACCTCAAAAACCACACCGCTTTGAGTAATTATAAAATTTATACTTTGAATAACTCAACAATGCTTTAATCAATTGATTTGAAATTTTGATATTATTATAATTGTGATATGAAGAATAGATATACCGAAGAAGATATCGCAGAGGCTCTTAGAGCGATTACAAATGGAGCAAGCATACGAAGAGCTAGCTTGGATTATGGTGTTCCACGTACCACACTTCACGATCGAATATATGGTGGAGTTTCGCATCAAAAAGGCGCCCAAATACTTCAAAAGTTATCTCCAATTCAGGAGAATCGACTAGCAGAATGGATATTAGTACAGGAAGCTCTTGGTACTAGCCCTACACATCGTCAAATCAGAGAGATGGCAGAGCACCTCCTTATTGTACGAGGGGAGGATCCCTCACTTGGAAAGAAATGGATACATAGCTTTTTTCGAAGGCATCCTAATATTGGAACTAAGAAGCAACATCAAATCGATTCTGCACGAGTTTCAGGTGCTACATCTGATATTATTAAGAAGTGGTTCCGGAACCTCGCAATCCCTGAAATCAAGGCTATTAAGCCGGCCAACAGATGGAATATGGATGAAGCAGGTATAATGGAGGGTCAGGGTCTTAATGGACTAGTAGTAGGAAGCACTGATCGAAGATTTATTCAAAAAAAGCAACCTGGATCTCGAATTTGGACCTCTTTTATAGAATGCATTTCAGCCAATGGAAAAAGCATTACTCCCCTTGTAATATATAAGGGAAAATCAGTTCAGCAACAATGGTTTCCAACAGATTTGACTCTATTCAAGGGTTGGAACTTTACCGCTACAGAAAATGGATGGACTACAGATGCTACAGCTTTAGAATGGCTGAAAAAGATCTATATCCCTCAAACTACCCCTATTCAGCCGGAAAATTCAAGACTCCTCATTTTGGACGGACACGGAAGCCATGAAGCTACAGCATTTATGTTAGAATGCTTTAATAACAACATATATCTCTTATTTCTCCCACCACATACGTCACACGTACTACAACCACTCGATTTATCTGTGTTCTCACCCCTAAAAAGTGCATATCGAATCGAACTTAATAAATTAAGTCTATTATCCGATTCCTCACCAATTGGAAAGCGCAATTTCCTTTCTTGCTATCAGAAGGCTAGAATAGAAGGTTTAACTATTCAAAATATCAAGTCTGGGTGGCAAGCTAGTGGTCTTTGGCCCAAAAATATGGCTAAACCTCTTATGAGTCGACTTTTGCTTGAAAATAGCAATAGAGAGGTTTTATCACTTAATCCTGAATCTGATGATGATCCTATTCTTCAATGGAATATATATTCATCGTTTATTCAATGGAAAACCCCTCAAAAAGGAGCCGATATCAGAAAATATAGAGATATAATGATTCAAGAGAAGGAGATCGATTTGCCAACACGAAGATTACTATTTCGCAAGATTATAAAAGGATTCGATGCTAAGGATTATGAACTCTTAGAGGCAGAGAATAAGATTAGAAAGCTAGAATATCAATTAGATGAAGCATTACCTAGAAAAAGGCGAAAGGTTGTGGTATCTCCAAATTCGAAGTTCGCAGGGATTAGAGCTATAAGGCGTACACAAATTGAAGCTGGAGATCGTGAAGATGAGGTAGATGATAGCTCTAGTGCTATAGAAAGTGATTCTACAGGCGATTTCATTGAAGTTCAATAGTTATTGAGTTATTAAAGTTTTAAGTGTAGATAATATGAATTTTTTAGGTGGTCGGAAACAGGGGGTGGTCGGAAAGTGGGGTAGTTGACTTACTCCTTAATTAAAATACAATATCACACATTATTTTTCATATAACATGTATAAAAAAGTATGACTTACTATGATTCACAACTCCTAATCCTCAATTCCTACTTAATTCAATCTATAATAATACTCAATACTTTTATTACTTAATGTCACGGATCGGCCTCAATCGCAACTGCGATCGCTCACATACGTATGCACATATGTACACGATTATGAATACATAGCTAGTATATAGGTGCACTCTATGAGCGCTTTGCTCTTGATTCTACAGTTATAGATTCTAAAGATAAATTGTACCCTGCTCTTGTAGTTCTTCTATGGCAAAGTGTCACACTTAATACTTAATACTTAATACTTAATACTTAATACTTAATACTCAATACTCAATACTCAATACTCAATACTCAATACTCAATACTCAATACCTAATACCTAATACCTAATACTTAATACTTAATACTTAAGATATTATAATATATAAATAAAATATTACCTACAGACTACAGACTAAAGACTATAGACTATATTACATTAAATATAAAAACAAGCCTATAGATTCTTATACACACTCTTATACAAATCCTCATATATACTCTTCAACAAACTTATAAATCCTCATACATACTCTTATGATTCACACCCTCATCTATACTCTCATTCAACTCCTTATTCAAATCCTCATCTACATCCCTATCTACACTCTCACACAAATCCTTATATCGAATAAACTAATTCTTATATAAACTCATAAAATCCTTATACAAATACAAATTCATATATACTCTTATTTATACCTTCATCCTTATATAAATACCTATTCAACCCCCCCTCATATATACTCTTACTTACACTCTTACCTATACTCTTACTCACATTCTCATTCAACCCCCTCCCCCTCAAAAAAGCACTATTCAATCTTCAGATAACTAAGCTACTCTCTCCCTCTCTCTCTTTTTTATTCTAAAGCTCGATTTAAATTAATATTATATTATACTATATTATACTATATTATACTATATTATACTATAACTCATATCATTTATTATTATTATTATTATTATTATCATCATCATCATCATCAATTAATGATCTTAGTGAAATGATTACATAGTGGGATAAGGTGGATATAGTGTAATGGGATGAGATGAGATATAATATAATGGAATGGAATGGGATGTAATATAATATATAGATAGACGTAAACATAACATCATCTTCCACATATCTATTTGTCGATTATCTACTACCCATCCGTTCGTCGATTCATCTATTCATGCACCTAGACAAGACACAGTGCAATGCTATGTAATGTAATGCAATGTAATGAAATACAAAACAATACAATACCACAAGTACCACCACCACCTCATCCAATCAAATCCGGAGCCCCATCACAACAACAACAACAATAAATAAACTCTACCCAATCCTTAACCCCTAATCTCTCTTCCCATCTCCCCTCCCACTCCCACTCCCCACAAACCCCCATCCATTCCCAACCGCTCCTCCACCCCCAAACCCACCCCCCTTAACCCCATACCCCAACGGCGTCGCACCCCCCAACCCCTTACTACTCCCACCCATACCCCCCACCCTCGCCAACCTCCTACTCCACCCCCTCATCCTCCTCGGAACCTCCCAGCCCACCATCCAAGCCCCCATCACCGTAGCACCTGCTCCAAACGCTACAATCACATATCCAATCGTCATCCAATTCACATGACCCCCTAATCCATTCCATTCCACCTTTCCATTTTCTCTCGGGAGTAATGGGGTTGGGAACCAACGAATACTTAATTTAAGAGGTAATTCATCTCCAATGATAAGTTTTTTCGTAAGAGCTGCTGGGCCAGTGATGTGACTTAAAGGACTAGTACTATAAGCTACTCCACTATCGATTACACCCGAATCGTGTTTTTGAAGATGGTGTTTTGGAACGCTATGGAGAAGAACGTTTAGGTGAGTAGAGATGTGAAGGTGGGAGAGTTGTAAGGTTCCTGAGAGAGCGAAGGTGAGAGGAATATATTCTTGCTTATAATTTGGATAGCTATTCATATGATGAACAGTAGGTGCGGGTCGAGAAGGAATTCGACAGGAGAGAGGTGCATCGGAATGAATATAAAATTCGAGAAGATGAAAGAAAGGATCTGTTATTAAAGGAATTGTACAGTTGAGTTCTATTTTTGAAGGAATAGTCAGTACATGATCCACTTTCTAATGACAGGAAAGGAGAAATGAAACAAACCTTCTTCAACTCCATATTTCAATTCCAATGGTCTTCCCGTTTCATTACATATCGGGAATGGTATGTATTTTAAAGAATTATCTTCTAGTTGAACATGTTCCCCTGTATCGCTAATGGAAAAGTTAGCTTTTATTTCTTAAATTCTTATTCACATTCTTCTGGTTTCTCTTCATGCAAAATTTCCCAACAAGCTCTCGAGATGCTTATATTTGAATCTGCCCATGGCCCGTTCTCGATTTCGACCATAGTCTTCGGCACACACACAATTTGTATTCGCGCATAGTTCGCAGTCGTATCCTTGTCCTCACATATCCAGAGATATCTCCCTCTCCATTCTCCAATTCTCCAAATCTCCAAATCTGTCACCTGCTCTTCCTCTCCCCATATCCTCCACTTCTCTTAAAGGGGGCAAGCCCCCAAACCCCCAACCTCGCTGCGCTCGAATGTCGATGGCGGATCCTACTTTCTTTCACATTTTTCTCTTTCCATCTCTCTAATATCCATCCCATTATAGTATTCAGAGAATCGCGTGCGTTCGTGTCGTTGCATGTGTACGTGTGTCGAAGACTTCCCCTTCCCCCTCTAGCGTCCTAATTCTCAATCCTCTTCGCACAAAATCCACTCCTTTCCCTCCACCCTCTCCCCAGAAACTCAAACCATCCAAAAGAAGAAAACAAAACTTACACATCCCTCTCCATACACTCGACCTCAATCCCCGCCCCAAAATGATAACTCGGCAAAGGCAACCTTTCCTCATCCCTCTCCCCCACCCCGTCCAGCCCTTTATCTCCCCTCTCGGTCTCCAGCGCAAATACGCTTCCTCCCCAAATACTCATCCCAATCGCCAGCCAATTAATCACCCGCATGTTTATTATTCTTTCCCTTTATTTCCTTTCGTCCTCTCGTTTCGTATTTCTTTCTTTTGCTGTAGAGTTCCTCTTTTCGTGTTTCTCTCCTCTTCAAACCTCTCGTCCTCGCGTTTGCCTATTTCCCTTTCTCCCTTTGTAGATCCTCGCAATCCCGTATCCTCGTCGTCTCAATTGTTTTCTTTGCGCTTTGCGCTTTGCGCTTTGCGTTTCCTTTCCCTTTCCCTTTTACTCTCTTTTCCTTTTACTCTTCTTACTCTCAATCCCTCTACTCTCGATACCAAATCCTAAACAGTTTTCGTACTCGTAGCTCGTAGCTCGTAGCTCGTCGCGCGTAGCTATTCTCGTTCTCGTTGTCCGTTCACGTACTCGTCGCGCCTTCCAATCCCTTTCTCTATCCCGATTCCAATCCCAATCCCAATCCCTCTCAATCTCCCCAAATTCTAGTAATCCCAATCCCTCAAATCCCCTTTAATTTCTCAATTTCCTCACTACCAATCCTAATCCTTTCACAACCCTGTCCTTCAAATTCCCTCTTAAGTCCTCAAGTCCTCGAATTCCCTTCCCTTTCCCTTCTCAATCAAATACAAATCCCCAGTAATTAACAGCCTCCTATTTCAGAAATCGTTCAAAAAAAAACAACAAACCCCCTCAGGTTCTATCAAATCAATCATGTAAAATTTCCCCGCAAGTAATAACTTCTTACAATGATCTGAACTGAACACTTTGCATCATCGAAAAGTTAAGCTCTCCAATTATTCCGCATCCTCCATTACCCATTGGGCATGGGTTGTCATGCAGGAGGTAAAATAAAGCTCACGCTAGCGGCCGCTGCCATCCTTACAAAGTAGAATTCAGATGGGATGAGATGGACATTCCCCCCTTCATTAATTTACTACCAAAGTCACCGGGAAACTCAAGACTTCAAAAATGATTGGATATTCATATTCATCTTTTCATAAACATATCGTATCTTTAACTAATCAACCATCATTCATTCATTCATTCATTCATCCATATTTATTCAAATATCCAGATGCATATTTCTCTCCTCATCCTATTTTTTTATTTCCCCCCAGTTTACTATATCGAGAAGATCCTTTGCCTTTCCGTCCTGATTTCACGATTACCACATCCTGATGATCCCATAGCTTTTCCCCATCACTTCCAATTCTCATTTAGATGTTGGCCTTCTTCTTGAAAGCAGCAATCAATCCTCCAGTACTGCTATCATGCTCTCCAACATTTCCACTAACATCAAGCTCGGCTTGAATCTTCTTAGCCAAGCTCTTACCCAACTCAACACCCCATTGATCGAAACTATTGATGTTCCAGACAGCTCCCTCGGTGAATGTGAGGTGTTCGTAGTAGACAATCAAAGCACCAAGAGTACCTGGGGTAATCTTTTGAGCGAGGATTGATGTAGTTGGTCTGTTACCCAAGAAAGTCTTGTGCTTGTATAATTCAGCTGGTGTGTTCTCAGCCTTGAGTTCATCTTCTCCTTTTCCAATCATGAGAGCTTCAGCTTGAGCGAAGAAGTTTGATGCCAACATCTTCTGGTGCTTGTTGTTATCGATTGGGTTGTGTGATTCAGCGGCCATGATGAAGTCGGTTGGGATCAACTTAGTACCTTGGTGTACAAGTTGGAAGAAAGAATGTTGAGCATTTGTAGCTGGTTCACCGAAAAGGATTGGACCAGTTGTGTACTTGACAATCTTTCCATCACGGGAGACAGCCTTACCGTTAGATTCCATAGAAAGTTGTTGAAGGTAAGCGGGGAATCTGTGGAGGTATTGATCGAAACTATCATCTTCATTAGCCATATGCAAAAGGAGCTTAGACAGATAGAAACTTACGGAGAAACCAAATGAGTTTGAGCACCAAAGAAATCAGAATACCAAACACTCAAAAGACCAGCAATAACTGGAATATTCTCCTCGAGTGGAGTGTTCTTGAAGTGCATATCCATAGCATGGGCTCCAGATAACAACTCATGGAAATTCTTGAATCCAATATGAATAGCAACACTCAAACCAATTGCACTCCAAACACTGTATCTACCTCCGACCCAACTTTCGAAACCGAACATGTTCTTGGCATCAATACCAAATTTGGTAACTTCAGCTTCGTTGGTAGAAAGAGCCACAAAGTGTTTGGCGATATCACCCTTTCCATCAGTCTTCTTCAAGAACCATTCCTTTGCGGAGTTGGCATTGGTGACAGTCTCTGCAGTAGTGAAGGTCTTGGAAGCGACCAAGAAAAGAGTAGTTTCTGGATCGGAATCTCTCAATGCCTCAGCCATGTGCGTACCATCAATGTTAGAAACAAAGTGAAGAGTTTGTTCTCTAGCACCATAGTACTTGAGAGCTTCGGTAACCATAACTGGACCACTATAATGGAATTAGCTATGATCACTCTGGGTGGGTATGCCTCCAAACTTACAGATCAGAACCACCAATACCAATGTTGATAATGGTAGTCAAAGGTTTTCCAGTGTAACCCTTCCACTCTCCACTTCTAATCTGTTCCGAGAATTCCTCCATGTGCTTCAATTCCTTGTTAACACCTGGCATAACATCCTTCCCATCCACCTTGATTGGGTCACTGTTAACATTTCTCAATGCAACGTGAAGAACAGCACGATCTTCGGTGAAATTGATCTTCTCGCCCGCAAACATCTCATCGCGCAATTTCTCCAATCCGGCTTCTTTTGCAACAGCTACCAATGCCTTGATGGTATCTTCATTGATCAAATTCTTGGAGAAATCAAAGAGAATCTCCGAGTTGTCGGCAGTGTTCTTGAAGGTTTTGGAAAATTTCTCGAATCGCTCAGGGTCCTTTTTGAATTCATCCTTGAGGACAAAGTTACGACCAACATTGTCATGGTGAGATTGGAGAGCACTCCATGCTTTGAGTTCAGTTGCTTGAGGCATATTGTCGGGGTTTAATTGAGTTGTTGGTTATCAGGTTTAGGGGGAACTAGGAACATAAAGTTAGAATGAAGACTCGAATATCAAATGATGATGAATGACGAGTGATGGGTATTTGACAATCTTCCGAAGGTTTTTGTAGATATGTCTCGAGATATATCAAGGCCAACAGCAAAGAAGCAAAGAGAAAAGCATACCTTTATATTCCTTCTTGAGCAAGAAATTCTCCGAAAAGACAAGAGAGGTATTCCTAGTATCTCCGAAAGGTCTGCGAATAGATTTGGCTTGGATATCTGGTCAGTTGAGGGCTTGTTGGGGTGGTTTGTATGATCAAGAAGGATTGGAGATGGAGATGGAAAAATATGTGTCGAGTTTAGAGTAGGAATAGACGGAAGGAATAATATCCACGGAAACTGTCTCTCTCTCTCTGTCTCGACTCTGGAAAGTTCGGTCGGTCGAATGTTGTGTAGGTGGGTGGGGGTGGGGTTAAAGCAGTGACACCAATTCAATCATTCATTCATCATTGGGAGGGTGAGAGAGAGAGAGGATTGAGGGAAATATCAACATACCTTTCTTTACTTGATCGATTCAATGTATACAGATATTAGATATGTGTATGTGTATGAGTATGAGTATGAGTATGTGTATGTGTATGTGTATGTGTATGTGTATGTGTATGTGTATGTGTATGTGAGGATGTGTGTGAGGATATATGTGAGGATATATGTGAGTAATAAGCAAGTAACCAAAAAGAGGGAAAAAAGGAGGGGTTCATTCAAGCTCTTCTAAGTACCCACTCGGCCACCCCCTAGGAAATCCATAATCATTCAACCCAACCAATACCCAACAGCCAAGTCGAGACAGACATGGTGGGATAAATGAATAATAAGTGAGAGAGACGAGAGACCTGAGTACATTTTTATTTGTCGATTTTATTTATCCGTTCAATTACTCTCTCCTTCAGCTTTCAATCTTCTCAGGGTAAGCTCTCTATTGATTTCTATAGTCCATACCTACCTAGTATGTACAGAGTAAAGATAGATACCCTTCTCCTCCTCCTCCTCCTCCTCCTCCCCCTCCTCCCACAACCTAAACCTCATAAATAAATCCATCAAATACGAGTAAATTAACAAAACACAAACATTCCCAACCTACTGTGCATCCATAACCTCAATCAACAAATCCCAACTCTAGTCCAGAGTCTAGACCCCAAGTTTCATTTCCTCTCTTCCTCTCTCTCTCGGTGAATCCCAAATAAGCATAGAACAAACACAAAGCCCCCAAATAATAAACCCGAAAGATCGGATCGGAACAAACCCTTCTATTCATATCCATCCTCCATCTGATCGGCTCTTTACATTACATACAACGATATGCATAATTAATTTCCTCAATTTTAACAACTCATACTTTTGAAAACGATTCTATTAGCCTATAAATAATTAATAAATATGATTCATTAACATAGTTTATCAGTGGGTCGGTTATATCAATAGATCAACTATTTTTATCTCAAATTATTATTTTATATTCAATATGTATTTTCTTTATAATTAATTATAAAAATTTATTCTAAAGAAGTATGTATAATTTTAATTATTCAAACTATTGAATCAAATAAAAAATTATTAATTCAAAAAACAGTTTAACTTTATTATATATTTTGAACTATATTAGGTAATAGAATTCGAGGTAAATTTAATATAGTTGAAAGTTAATCAAAAAGTTATAATTTAATTAAATTAGAAGAGAAAATATTTATTTAATATATTCTTAATATAAATTTGAAAGGGTTTTTATTTAAACTTAAGAATATAAAAAATATAATGAATTATAATTTCAAATTGAAGGGTGTGAAATATATCGGGAAGTTTTAAGTATATTAATTTGTAAAGTGTTGAATTGAATTAAAGATATATTTTAATTATATTTATAATTTTCGAAAAGCTTTTTATAAGGATTTTAAGCTTATTAGAGAATAATTTCAATTAATTGTAAATATATAAGCAAAATATAACATTTTGAATAGAGATTTCTACAATTTTAGTAAAACAAGCTTTATAATGGGAA